GCCCCCGCCTCACCCCACCCTGAAGGGCCTGGGTGGGGAGGGGGTCTATATGCCCTCCTATGCCCTGAGGAGGGGCAGAGGGATGGGGGAAGTCTGGCCCCTGGACGGCAGGTCCACCAACCAAGTGTGGGACAGATACCACCAGGACATTAGGACAGAGGCAAGGGGTCCAGGGTGATGAATGCGCGGGGGATGGGGACCTGGGCCATGGGGTCTTGGATATAAGAGAACGCAGGCCTCTGGCTTTGGATACTGGCCCTTGCTGAGCCCTGGAGCTGGATCTGGCCAACGTCCTTCCAACAGGCCCACAGCAAAGCGGTAGCTCTATTTCTGAAGAGGACTGCCCAGGTCAGTGTCCAAGTCCTCTGGGCCTGGGGATCCACTCTGTGACCCAGGGCTACTTGCTTCCTGGGGTCAACAGGTCAGGGCACAGGGGGCAGTGGGCAGTGGGCATGCACCGCCGCGGCTGGGGCTCAAGCAGCTGTGGGCTCCCTGTTCCTAGGTCCAGCCTGGCCGTGCAACCAAGGGCTAGGTACTGAGTGTGCTGCGGTGGGCGCGGGTGTGTCCTTGTGCGAGATCACACGTACACACACGCACACACACACATGCTCGTCCTACAGGGCATGCCCATCACTTGGCCTCAGGGGACACACCTGTGGACACGCTCTGTCACAGTGGGCACATTCAGTCACGGTGACAGCAGGCACACGGTGGGTACACTTGGTCTCGAAGGACGTACCCAGCCAGTTGGTCTAGCGGGTACTCTGGGCAGCCATGCCCTTCTGGGGAACTGCTGTCATGGACACACCCGTCTGGGGTCCAGACAGCTTCCCTGCAGGTTTCAGAGTGCGGGCCAGCCTGGAGCACACCTGGAGGTGGGGCTGGCCTCCCCAAGCCCCCACTCACCACATTGCCATGCAGCCCCCTTCCCAGAGTAGGGCCAGCTGAGGACCCCAGTTCCAAACTCACACTGGCTTGTGACTCACCCTTGCCCAGCCAAGGACAGAGGGACAATCTCAGTGCCCCCCAGGCCATGCTGCCCCCACTGTGAGGGGGTTGGAGGCATCAGGCAGGCGATGTTGGGGCGTGTGGACCTCAGACGTCACTGCCTGTGCTCTGCCCTGTGGCCATGCTTCCTGCTGGCCCAGAGCCACGGTCAGGCTTTGGCCCAGCAGTGGGAACAGGGTGTGAGTTTGCTCAGGGCCCACAAGCTGCAGACGCTGGGATAGGAGACCAATGGCCACCCCTGGCCCACAGCCCCGCCTCTCTCCCAGCCCTGCCCTCATGTCCGCCCACTGCCAGCCTCACCTGTGCCTGTCACCTACCCCCATCATCCCCCTCACCTGAGAACTCCCACACCTTATGGGCCAGGTCACTCTGGGTCAAGGATCCACAGCTCCCAACCTTGTCCTGCCCTCTACCCACACCTCACACGCTTGGCCCCTTCCTGCGCCTGTGGGCTGACCCACTCTCCCCTCCCCCTGGCCCCAGTGACTCGGCCACTGCAGTCCAGAGACATGCCTGCAACCTCAGGCGGGGACAGTGGAAGCAATGGTCCGTGCACGAGCCCTGTAGGTGTGCAGGGAAGCCAGTGTCCTGGGGGCCTAGGAGAGGGCATTAGGCACAGATGGCAGCACCTCAGGTGGTGGGAGACAAAGCTGAACCCTACCCACGTAATCACCTGGGCTTGTGGTGCGAGGTTCCCTGAGGATGCCAGACTCAAACTCAAGAGCTGAAGATGAAGGCAGGTGAGGGGTTAGAGGAGAGGAGGGCTCAGTGGAGGTGAGGAGTCAGGGAGGAGGAGGGTTCAGAACAGGTGAGGGGTCAGAGGAGACAAGGAGTTAGGGAAGATGAGCAGTCAGGGCTGGTGTGAGAACAGGAAGGTGATGAGTCAGGGCAGGTGAGGGTCAGAAAGGTGAGGGAGCCAGGTGAGGTGAGTGCTCAGAGGAGATGAAGGGGTCAGGGGAGATGAGGGATCAGGGAGGTGAGAAATCATGGGAGTCAGGGCAGGTTAGAGGTCAGGGAAGTGAGAGAGTCAGGGAGATGGAGATGAGGGATGGTGAGAGAGGTGAGGAAGTCAAGGAGGTGAGGGGTCAAGAGAGGTGAGAGGTCAGGGGTTGTCTGGGTCAGAGAAAGTGAGGGGTCAGCGGAGGGAGGTGAGGCTGTGTCAGCGTGTGCGTGTGCGTGTGTGTGTGTGTGTGTGGTGTGTCTGTTGCAGGCATGTGAGTGTGTGCCCATGTGTGAGCACATGCCTAAGGGGCCTGGGGTTGCTGGACCAATGGTCTGTCTCACACCCTGACTACGGTGACCGTTGTGGTGTCAGGGATGTGCCCAGGACAGTAAAGGGACACAGGCCTGGAGCCAAGGGCTGGGTGTGAGGCTGTGCCCAGGCTTCAGGCTGCCCAGAACCGGTCTGACCAGGACCTGGGATGTGAGGTACTGTGCTCACGTGTGCACAGGGCCTGGGGCTGGGCCAGGAGGCAGCCGGAGCAGAGGCCACAACCTGCGTCATGGAGCCTCAGCCACGCCAGTCAGACAGGCCAGTCCACCTGCCTGGGGCCCGCTGGCCAGGAACAGGGACAGGGGAGGGACAAGCAGGGCACCAGGAGAGACAGGAGGCGGCCAGGCCAGGCCCAGGGCCCTCTCCACCCTGCACAGAGCTATGTGGATGTAGGGCTGGAAGACATAAGCAGGACACAGGGACACACAGGGCCTGAGACAGCCTAGCCCCAGAGCCCAGAGCTGGCCAGAGGCAGGGCCAGGCCCCTGGGTGCTGTCCGAGACTGGGTCTCACCCAGGCTTCACCTAGCTGCCCCACACCCTGGCAGAGCTGAATCACCTGGGCTGGGCACCCCTGGGCCCAGGCTTCCCTGCCCAAGGTGTGGAGCTGACAGATCTGTGGATTCCCTTGTTGTTTCCCTAGGTGTGAATGAGAATTGCCAGGGCCCCTCACCTCTGTCCTGACAGTGTGTGCTGGGGCACCCCCAAGGTCAGCATACCTACATTCTCTCAGCACTGGGTTCTGGGTCCCACCAGGCTGGACTGTGCTGGGCCGGGCAGGGGAGCCACAGGCCCGTGTCATTGTGTCATCGTGAGCAGAAGCCTAGCCTTCCGTGTTCCCACACTTTGTAAGCAAAACTATAAAACAACCCCAAACCAGGCCATCTTGATCCGTGGAAGTACCCGGGCTCGATGGCCACCACACTCTGCTTCTCACCCTAAACAGAAGCTCTGTCCCTTCATCTGTCCCCCCACATCCTCTGCCCTTTCCTGGGGCAGGGTGCTCCTCCCAGGACGTGAGCAGGGGCAGGAGCAGAGGCTGGACGCAATCAGAGGCCACTGGGGGGTGGTCCAGCAGGTGTGGTCCTAGGGAGGCGGATGGGGCTGTCAGGGTCTTCCAAGATAGTGCTGTCCACCAGCTCCTCCTCCTGCTCCCAAGGGGTGGGGATCGGAAAGTTGACTCAAGGCTAGAGCCCCAAAACTGAGCGTCCCAGAAACCACAAGTCAGCACTCCGGCTGCCCCACCCAAGGTACCAGCCTCTCTCAGAACACTTCCCAGACCTGTGGGCACAGGGCAGAAAGGAGCCCAGAGGCCACTCCACCCCTCCCCTGCCTTCCCAAGAGGACCGTGGGGCACGCGCCCCCCTCGGAGGAGGACTTGCCCCGTGGGGCCACACTGCTCAGGGTCACCTGACGGTGGTGTGGTGTGCGCTCAGGCGCCGTGGCCTGTGATACAGGAGATCAGGCAGCACACCCTCCAGGAGCCAGCACTCCAGAGACACCCAGGGCCTGTGCGGTGGGGGCAGATGCTTGCACTGTGCCCTGGCTCC